GGGGAATCCGCATGCGGGCGCACACAGCACGGGGTTGGGCTGGGCAGGGATCTGGGGTCTCCTCCACCCACTGGCCTGGCTTCTCCAAGCCCCTCAGCCCTCTCTCCTCCCTGTGGCTTCGGAGACCCCTGTTTGGCTTGGGTCCGCTAGCAGGGCTGAGGTAGCTGTGCAGGCCAGCAGGGGGCCTCTGCCTTCTGAGCAGGACCTTCACAGGGGGTGGACGGTGGACACAGGGCCCCCTCGAGGGCTGTGGAAGACTCCCAGGAGACCAGGAGTGCGAGTGTGTGGAAAGGCTGAGCTGAGCTAGGAGGGCGGTGGAGGCTGGGGTGAGGCAGGAGGGGCTGCAGCGGGGAGGCCTGGCCTCCTGGGCCCCAGCCTGACACGGACCAGCGGGGCAGAGGCCGGCTCGGCACCCTTTGGAAACTCCCCCCACTCAGGAGCGCGTCTCTAGCTCTCCGGAAAACCACAGCTTCCCGCCTGACCCTCCAGTCGGTGTGTGCTGCCTCCGCTCCAGATAAGGGTCTACAGGGCGCCACCTCTGTTCTCAGAAACGCTTCCGGCCGCAGCTCTCGCCGAACCTCCACCCCCTCCCCTTGCTGGAAGAGACAACACGCTTCTCTGATAGAAACTCCCCCTGCCCTGAGGCTCAGCCGCGGGCTCTGTCCTCCAGGACAGGTTCCTGTCCGTCCCCAGCTGTGCGGACACCTAGCTGACACAAGAGCTGGACCAGGACCCAGACCCTTCCTTGTTCATTCCTGAGCAGCCTCTCCGTGGGAAGCAGGGGGCTGGGTGGGCGGGAAGGCTCGGTTAGGAGCTGCACTGGCCTCTTCTGAGAGACAAGCCTCCAGGGAGTGGCTGTGTGGGTTGTGTGGGTGGCTTTGGCTAGCACAAGGGTGATCAGCAGACCCCAGGCCCTGGCTTAGGAGGTCCCCAGAGGCAGAGCCTCTGCCGGCCAGCCCCAAGATGGAGATGCAGGGATGGAGGGGCTGAGCGGCTTGGTGGGGGACAGGGTGGTCAAGGATGGGGTGGTTCGGCGCCCCCGTAGCATGCTGGTGGAGTAACTGCCTGCTTGGCTTCTGCCTGCTGGCACCTCCTGGGATTCACCCTTGGAAGAGACAAAGGAAGCCAAGGTGTGAGCCGGTGGCCCTACCTGTCACCCGAGCTGCTCAGGAGGCTGAGATATGAGGCTCGAGGCTCCAAGCCAGGCCAGGCAGGAAAGTCCGTGAAACTCTTATCTCCAATAAACCACCAGAAAACCAGAAGTGGCACTGTGGCTCAAGTGGTACAGCACTCACCTAGAGCTGAAGAGCTGAGGGACAGCGGCCAGGCAGAGTTCAGGTCCACGACCGACACACACACACACACACACACACACACACACACACACACAGGAGAGAGGATGGGTGCGGATGTCCTTGGCACCAAGGAATCCTGTTCCCCTGGGCTCACCAAGTCCCAGGGAAGTTTCCTCGTGGAGCCAGCCTGGCCACGCTGCCGCCACCTGCTCCTGCGTCCCTGGCCCTGCCTGTGCACAATTCCAACTGCAGATTCTACCTGTCACCTGCCAGACCCCTGGGTCGAGATACTCCAGAGCCCCTTCTCTGCAGGGTCCCCGCAGTCCTGAGCTTAGGGAAGCTGGGGCCTGCGCAGGGCTTAAGGGGCTGGGTAGACAGGGCCGGTGCGGCCATCACTCCTGAGGAGCCAACAGAAACCTCCGTCTACCGACTTACACATGGGTACCAGAGCTGCCAGGCATAGGACGAGTTTGAGGGGCTAAGGCTGGGTGGGGTATCTGTAAGGAATAAGGGTATCAGAACAGAGAAAGGGCTGAAAGCAAGCAGCAGAACAGCTGACTTTTATTTTAGGTAAAAGCCTGAGGGGGACACCAGTCCTCCAGCCAGACTGGAGAGACAGACAGCTCTCCTACAACTGAGGTCTTGGGGCTGGGCAGTGGCTCCGTGGCAGAGTGCTTGCCTCGCACACAGGAGCCCTGGGTTCCATTCCTTAGTACCACATTCACAGAAAAAGCCGGAAGTGGCACCTCAAGTGCTAGAGTTCTAGCAGCTCAGGGACAGTGCCCAAGCCCTGAGTTCAAGCCCCAGGAGCGGACAAAAATCAAAAAAGGACAAGTGAGCTGTCTTTCTAGGGAGAAGGGAGGAAGCTCTTCGCGTGAGTGGAGGGAATGCTGCCTCCGGGCCTCGGGGCGGCTGGCCAGCGGAGGGATCCCGGGCCTCGGGGCGGCCGGCCAGCGGAGGGATCCCGGGCCTCGGGGCGGCTGGTCAGCGGAGGGATCCCGGGCCTCGGGGCGGCTGGCCAGCGGAGGAATCCCAGGCCTCGGGGCGGCTGGTCAGCGGAGGAATCCTGGGCCTCCGGGTGGCTGGTCAGCGGAGGAATCTGGGGTGTGGAAGCCCAGGGCGTGACCGGCAGTTTCCCTGGGGTGGGGGCTGTCTGCTTTAGAGGAGGCAGAGAGGTGACCTTTTAGCTGTTTGTCGGCAGGGTCGGCTTAGAGGCACTCCAGGGCTGCTTTCCCAGCAGGGCAGGCATCGCCAATGGGCTCTTTTTCATGGCTCTAATAACGGCTGTGCGTTCCCAAGACAGCCGGCAAGCACCTCCCCAGGAGCTGAGAGCTGGAATGCTCCCTGAAGGTGCTGATAGCACTGGGAAGCAGCCTGGACTTGAGGGCTGTGAGCAGCTGAGAGGCTCTGGGGAGGTCAGGGTGGCCCCGCAGGGGGTGCTGGGAACACCTTCAATGCCAGCAGAAGCGGCATTGCCCAGCGGGCAGGCGTGGATGAACCAAGGCCCCCCTCCCCCCCGCCCTGCGGGCTGCAGGGCAGACGGTGGCTGAGCTGGCACCCCAGGGAGGGCCACATGCTGCAGGGTCCCAGGGCTCCTGGACCCTTGCCACACAGGGACGGGGGTGCGGGTCCTACTGCAATGGGGCACACTCCACAAGGCCACGGCAGGGTGGCTGACTGGGTTGGGACACCCTGTCCTGGTGCGTAGGGGTGGAGGGAGGGGTCTGGTGTTGAGGATGCTCACACCTTACCCAGGTTTGCCCAGAGTTGGCTGGGCTCTTCCCCCTCTGCCCCGCTCCGGAGGCACAGCGGTGCACAGCCCCCTCTAGTGGTCAGAGGGCCCCTTGTCCGGGAGAGGGGCCATGGGAAGCCGTGTTGGCCCCAACCCCCTGGCACTGCTGGGCCAGGCACAGAGCCCACGGAGGTCAAGGGACAGCCCTGTGCAGAGGGGGACCATCCTGGGAGACCGTGTTGGGGGGGGTGACTTGCTATCCTGGGGGACCGTGTGTGTCAGGGGGACTCGCGTCCTGGGGGACTGTGTGTGTGTGTGTGTGTGTGGACTCGCCGTCCTGGGGACCCTGTTGGGGTGTGGTGGACAGGGCTTGTGGGAGCTGGGGACTCACTGGGGCAGTAGCAGGCCCTCAGTGGTTGGTGTGGTCAGTCGCCTGGGTTTTGGGGATCCCTGGGTGGGTGCTGGCCGGTCCCCTGCTGGTTGGCCCCAAGGTCCTCCACCCCGTCCCCATCTCCCCCTTTCCCCCGTTCCCTGTCTCCCCCTCCCTCTGTGTCCCCCCTGTGCCCCAGCCCCCAGTCCCCATCCTGTCCCCCCCGGTCCCTCTGTCCCTGTCCCCACATCCCCATTTCCCTCCATCCCCCCATCCCCTAGTCCCCCTGTCCCCCAGTCTCCCATCCCCCGTCCCGGCCCGTCCGTCCTACCCTGTCCCATCCCCCGTCCCCGTCCCAGCCCAGTCCCCTGGCCCGGCCCGGGCCCTGTCCCCTCCCGTCCCATCCCTGTCCCGTCCCCTGTCCTGTCCTGTTCCCGTCCCTGTCTCGTCCTCGTCCTGGCCCGGCCCCTGTCCAGTCCCGTCCAGTCCCCGTCCCGTCCCCTCCTGTCCCATCCCATCCCTGTCCTGTCCCCTCCCCTCCCCTCCCATCCCTGTCCTGTCCCCTCCCCTCCCCTCCCATCCCTGTCCTGTCCCCTCCCATCCCTGTCCTGTCCCCTCCCCTCCCCTCCCATCCCTGTCCTGTCCCCTCCCCTCCCCTCCCATCCCTGCCGCGTCCCATCCCCGCCCGGCCCAGCCCGTCCCCATCCCGTCCCCCATCCCGTGCCCTGTCCCCCGTCCCCCGTCCCCGTCCCATCCCTGCCCCGTCCCGTCCCGTCCCGTCCCCGCCCGGCCCGGCCCGTCCCCTCCAGTCCCCCATCCCGTGCCCTGTCCCCCGTCCCCTGTCCCCGTCCCGTCCCGTCCCCTCCCGTCCCATCCCGTCCCTGCCCCGTCCCCCGTCCCGTCCCATCCCGTCCCTGCCCCGTCCCCCGTCCCCTCCCATCCCTGCCCCGTCCCCCGTCCCGTCCCGTCCCGTCCCGTCCCGTCCCCTCCCGTCCCATCCCATCCCTGTCCTGTCCCCTCCCCGCCCCTCCCATCCCTGCCCCGTCCCCCGTCCCGTCCCCTCCCGTCCCTGCCCCGTCCCCCGTCCCGTCCCCTCCCGTCCCCTCCCGTCCCCTCCCGTCCCTGCCCCGTCCCCCGTCCCGTCCCCTCCCGTCTCATCCCGTCCCTGCCCCGTCCCGTCCCCCCCCCGTCCCGTCCCCTCCCATCCCTGCCCCGTCCCCCGTCCCGTCCCCTCCCGTCCCATCCCGTCCCTGCCCCGTCCCTGCCCCGTCCCCCGTCCCGTCCCCTCCCGTCCCCTCCCGTCCCCTCCCGTCCCATCCCGTCCCCGTCCCGTCCCCTCCCGTCCCATCCCGTCCCCTCCCGTCCCATCCCGTCCCCTCCCGTCCCATCCCGTCCCCGTCCCGTCCCCTCCCGTCCCATCCCATCCCCGTCCCGTCCCCTCCCGTCCCATCCCATCCCCGTCCCGTCCCCTCCCGTCCCATCCCGTCCCGTCCCCGTCCCGTCCCCGTCCCGTCCCCTCCCGTCCCCGCCCGGCCCGGCCGCGCAGCGCGGAGGCCGCCTGTCACAAAGTAGGCTTTATGCGTCCCCAGGCCCTGGGCCCGCGTCAGGAGCCCCGGTGGCCGGCGGCCCTGGGCTCGGCCTCGCGCTCCTCCTCCGGCGGCTCCGCGTCCTCGCCGCCCTCGGGCGGCCGCTCCCCGGGGCCGGGCGGCGGCGGGCGGCGCGGGGAGGAGGGCGGCCGGCCGGGGGCCCGCGGCGGGCCGGGCCTGCGAGCGCCCCTCCGCTCCGCGCGGCCCGCGCAGGGCGAGGCCTCGGCGGCGGCGCGGGGCGGCGCGGGGCGCGGGCCCCCGGCGCGCGGGCCCCCGGAGCGCGGCCACGGGTCGGCCTCCCCGTTGTGCAGGAGCGAGAAGCGGCGCTGGGCCCGCAGCGGCAACATCTTCTGGCCGCGCAGACTCTTCTGGAAGGTCTCCAGCGCCAGGTCTGCGGGCGGCGGCGGGGAGTGAGTGCGGGGAGGAGCGCGGCCTGGGGAGGGGGGTACAGGGAGGGGGGTGCGGGGAGGGGCGCGGCCTGGGGAGGGGGGTACAGGGAGGGGGGTGCGGGGAGGGGCGCGGCCTGGGGAGGGGGCGCGGCCTGGGGAGGGGGGTGCAGGGAGGGGGGTGCGGGGAGGGGCGCGGCCTGGGGAGGGGGGTGCGGGGAGGGGCGCGGCCTGGGGAGGGGGCGCGGCCTGGGGAGGGGGGTGCAGGGAGGGGGGTGCGGGGAGGGGCGCGGCCTGGGGAGGGGGGTGCAGGGAGGGGGGTGCGGGGAGGGGCGCGGCCTGGGGAGGGGGGTGCGGGGAGGGGCGCGGCCTGGGGAGGGGTGCGGCCTGGGGAGGGGGGTGCAGGGAGGGGGGTGCGGGGAGGGGCGCGGCCTGGGGAGGGGGGTGCGGGGAGGGGCGCGGCCTGGGGAGGGGGGTACGGGGAGGGGGGTGCGGGGAGGGGCGCGGCCTGGGGAAGGGGCGCGGCCTGGGGAAGGGGCGCGGCCTGGGGAGGGGGGTACAGGGAGGGGGGTGCGGGGAGGGGCGCGGCCTGGGGAGGGGGCGCGGCCTGGGGAGGGGGGTACAGGGAGGGGGGTGCGGGGAGGGGCGCGGCCTGGGGAGGGGCGCGGCCTGGGGAGGGGCGCGGCCTGAGGAGGGGCGAGGCCTCAGGCCTGACCCCTGGCCAGCCAGGCTGTGCAGGGCTTGGGGATATTGGAGGCCAGCCGGTGCCCTCTGAACGGGGTCGGGCACCCAGGTGGCACAGGGTGCTGGCAGGGCTGTCAGGACTTACCCAGGGTCTCCATGACCACTCTGGGAATCACATCCTTTAGGACTTCACAGTTGGTATGCAGGGCAGGGTTGGAGTTCATCTCCAGTAGCCACACCTAGGCAGGATTCTGGTTAGCTAGCGGGAGGGAGGCTGGGGTCCTTCCAAGGGGCTCAGGCCCTGAAGTCTGTCTGGAGGGGGGGGGGCTGAGGCCCTGAGGTCTGTCTGGAGGAGGGGGGGGCGCTGAGGTCTGTCTGGAGGAGGGGGGGGGCGCTGAGGTCTGTCTGGAGCAGGGGGGGGCTGAGACCCTGAGGTCTGTCTGGAAGGGGGAGCGCTGAGGTCTGTCTGGAGGAGGGGGGGCGCTGAGGTCTGTCTGGAGTGGGGAGGGCTGAGACCCTGAGGTCTGTCTGGAGCAGGGGGGGGCTGAGACCCTGAGGTCTGTCTGGAAGGGGGAATGCTGAGGTCTGTCTGGAGGGGGGGGGGCGCTGAGGTCTGTCTGGAGGGGGGGGGCTGAGGCCCTGAGGTTTGTCTGGAGGAGGCAGGGGGGGTGGGGGGGCAGGCGCTGAGGCCCTGAGGTCTGTCTGGAGTGGGGGACGGGCTGAGGCCCTGAGGTCTGTCTGGAGGGGGGGCGCTGAGGTCTGTCTGGAGGATGGGGGGCTGAGGCGCTGAGGTCTGTCTGGAGGAGGGGGGGGGGGCTGAGGCTCTGAGGTCTGTCTGGAGGAGGGGGGGGGGGCTGAGGCCCTGAGGTCTGTCTGGAGGAGGGGGGGGGCTGAGGCCCTGAGGTCTGTCTGGAGGGGGGGGGGCTGAGGCCCTGAGGTCTGTCTGGAGGAGGGGGGGGGCTGAGGCCCTGAGGTCTGTCTAGAGGATGGGGGGGGCTGAGGCCCTGAGGTCTGTCTAGAGGATGGGGGGGGCTGAGGCCCTGAGGTCTGTCTGGAGGGGGGGGGGCTGAGGCCCTGAGGTCTGTCTGGAGGGGGGAGGGCGCTGAGGCCCTGAGGTCTGTCTGGAGGAGAGGGCGCTGAGGTCTGTCTGGAGGAGGGGGGGGGCTGAGGCCCTGGGGTCTGTCTGGAGGGGGGGGGATGAGGCCCTGAGGTCTGTCTGGAGGAGGGGGGTGTGAGGCCCTGAGGTCTGTCTGGGGGGGGCGCTGAGGTCTGTCTGGAGGGGGGGCGCTGAGGTCTGTCTGGAGGAGGGGGGGCTGAGACCCTGAGGTCTGTCTGGAGGAGGGGGGGGGCTGAGGCCCTGAGGTCTGTCTGGAGGAGGGGGGGGGCTGAGGCCCTGGGGTCTGTCTGGAGGAGGGGGGGCGCTGAGGCCCTGAGGTCTGTCTGGAGGAGGGGGGGGGCTGAGGCCCTGAGGTCTGTCTAGAGGATGGGGGGGGCTGAGGCCCTGAGGTCTGTCTGGAGGGGGGGGGGCTGAGGCCCTGAGGTCTGTCTAGAGGAGAGGGCGCTGAGGCCCTGAGGTCTGTCTGGAGGAGGGGGGGGGGCTGATGCCCTGAGGTCTGTCTAGAGGATGGGGGGGGGCTGAGGCCCTGAGGTCTGTCTGGAGGAGAGGGCGCTGAGGCCCTGAGGTCTGTCTGGAGGAGGGGGGGGCTGATGCCCTGAGGTCTGTCTAGAGGATGGGGGGGGGCTGAGGCCCTGAGGTCTGTCTAGAGGAGAGGGCGCTGAGGCCCTGAGGTCTGTCTGGAGGAGGGGGGGGCTGAGGCCCTGAGGTCTGTCTGGAGGAGGGGGGGGGTGCTGAGGTCTGTCTGGAGGAGGGGGGGTGGTGCTGAGGCCCTGAGGTTTGCCTGGAGGAGGGGGGGGGTGAGGCCCTGGGGTCTGTCTGGAGGAGGGGGGGGGGGCTGAGGCCCTGGGGTCTGTCTGGAGGAGGGGGGTGTGAGGCCCTGAGGTCTGTCTGGTGGAGAGGGGGCTGAGGCCCTGAGGTCTGTCTGGAGGAGAGGGGGCTGAGGCCCTGAGGTCTGTCTGGAGGAGAGGGGGCTGAGGCCCTGAGGTCTGTCTGGAGGAGGGGGGGGGCTGAGGCGCTGAGGTCTGTCTGGAGGAGAGGGGGGTGCTCTGAGGTCTGTCTGGAGGAGACGGGGGAGTGGCTGAGGCCCTGAGGTCTGTCTGGAGGAGGGGGGGGGCTGAGGCGCTGAGGTCTGTCTGGAGGAGAGGGGGTTGCTCTGAGGTCTGTCTGGAGAAGGGGGGGGGCTGAGGCCCTGAGGTTTGTCTGGAGGAGGCGGGGGGGTGGGGGGGGCAGGCGCTGAGGCCCTGAGGTCTGTCTGGAGCAGGGGGTGCAGATCGGACCTGTTGTTGCTGAGCCTTATGGGCACCCCACCCCCAGGGCTGGGGGCAGACAGTGGGGACTGCTGGCCGGCCATGGGCCTGCAGGGTGACCGGGATGCACACTTGGCTCCATCCACCCAGAACAGCACCTTGAAGTTCTCATCAATCAGGAAATCACAGCCAATCAGGTCAAAGTAACCCAGTTTGCACTCCAGCTTGGACTTGACCGCCAGGAAGCAGTGGGCCATGATCTGCTGCATCCGCTTCTGTGGGCAGCCAAGGAGGTCTGGCTGTCGCCTGTTGACCCTGGTCACGCCAGGCCCCTCACACTCCCCGCACCTGAACCGCTGCCTGTGCCTGTACTCCTGTTGGACCTGCTCTGCCCCCCTGCCTGTACCCTTACCTGTCCACACTCACACTCTCAGAAGCACAGGCTTGCAGTCAGAAACCCACTCAGCCAATTCATGGAGGTCCCTATGGTGTGTGAGGTACTAGGGATCACAAGAGTAAAGAAAGTGAGAAATCGCCATGGGCTTTTGTTTGTTTTTGGTGCCTGTACTGGGCTTTAACTCAGGGCCTAGCTGCTCTTTTAGCTTTTCCTTTCCTTGTATTTTGGTGTCAGTCCTGGGCTTGAATTCAGGGCCTAGCTGCTGTCCCTATGCTTTATTGCTCAGGACTAGCACTCTACCACTTGAGCCACAGTTCTACTTCTGAATTTTTTGGTGGATAATTGGAGATAAGAGTCTAAAGGATTTTCTTGCCCGAGCTGGCTTTGAATCGTGATCCTCAGATTTCAGCCTCCTGAGTAGGTAGGATTACAAACGTGAGCCATGGGTACTGGACTTCAAAATTTTTTAAAGAGTTGAAATTACAAATTAGGTTGTCTGGGATGAAACTAGAAATCACAAAACATTGGGAGATCCATGGAAATTAAGCCTCTCTCCCCCCCTCCCTCCTCCACTTTTATAGGGTTTTCTATGTAATCCAAACTGGCTGGATCCTGGGATCACGCTCCTCAGCATCCCAAGTGTTGGGATTTTAAGGCATGTGCCATATTCCAACACACTTTATTTATTTTTTGGGTCCGGTCGTGGGCCTGAACTCTGGGCCTGGGCGCTGTCCCTCAGCTCTTCAGCTCAAGGTGAGCGCTCTACCACTTGAGCCACAGTGCTACTTCTGGCTTTTTTCTTTTTTCTTATGTAGTGCTGAGGAATCGAACCCAGGGCCTCAGGCATGCAAGGCAAGCGCTCTACCACTTCCCAGCCCATCTGTGAGACTCTTATCTCCAATTAACCATGAGAACTGGAAGTGGCACTGTGGCTCAAGTGGTAGAGCACTCTCCTTGAGCTGAAGAGCTGAAGGACAGTGCCCAGGCCCAGAGTTCAAGACCCCTGATAGACAAAAAACAAAACAAAAAACACCTGGATATGGTGACCCACATCTGTCATCCTCCATGGGATGCCTCAGTAGGAGACTGACGTCTGTCCCTTCCTAGCAAAAACATGAGACCCTCTTAGAAAGACAACGAAAGCAAAAGGTTTTGGGGGTTTGGCTCAAGGAAAGTTTCCTGCCTAGCAAGTGTAAGGCCCTGAGTTCAATACCCAGTGATGTACAGGTGGGAGGAAGAGTAGAAGTTAATATAAATACATAAAGGTGTGTTCATCAGAGAAATAAAGCAACAAAGGGCAGGGGTAGGTAAAGCATCTGCCTATTAAGTTCAAGATCCGGAACTCAAGCCCAGTACCGCCACACACACAAGCAGGTAGGATTGCTTTATGGCCCAGAAGCCTCATTTCTAGTTCTCAGGGGAACTGACAGTGCCTGCACATACAAAACCTGTACCGGAACAGTCCCCTGCAGCGTCGGACAAAACTGCGAATGAGTGCCTAAGGGGGCCCACTCGCACCAACGGGCAGAGGCCCAAGAGACACCCGTCCCGTGACGCCGGCCGTGTGAAATGCCTATGCGTGTCCCGTGACGCCGGCCGTGTGAAATGCCTACGCGTGTCCCGTGACTCTGTGTGAAATGCCTACGCGTGTCCCGTGACTGTGTGAAATGCCTACGCGTGTCCCGTGACTCTGTGTGAGATGCCTACGCGTGTCCCGTGACTCTGTGTGAGATGCCTACGCGTGTCCCGTGACTCTGTGTGAGATGCCTACGCGTGTCCCGTGACTGTGTGAAATGCCTACGCGTGTCCCGTGACTGTGTGAAATGCCTACGCGTGTCCCGTGACGCCGGCCGTGTGAAATGCCTACGCGTGTCCCGTGACGCCGGCCGTGTGAAATGCCTACGCGTGTCCCGTGACTGTGTGTGAAATGCCTACGCGTGTCCCGTGACTCTGTGTGAAATGCCTACGTGTGTCCCGTGACTGTGTGAAATGCCTACGCGTGTCCCGTGACTGTGTGAAATGCCTACGCGTGTCCCGTGACTGTGTGAAATGCCTACGCGTGTCCCGTGACGCCGGCCGTGTGAAATGCCTACGCGTGTCCCGTGACGCCGGCCGTGTGAAATGCCTACGCGTGTCCCGTGACTGTGTGTGAAATGCCTACGCGTGTCCCGTGACTCTGTGTGAAATGCCTACGTGTGTCCCGTGACTCTGTGTGAAATGCCTACGCGTGTCCCGTGACTGTGTGAAATGCCTACGCGTGTCCCGTGACTGTGTGAAATGCCTACGCGTGTCCCGTGACGCCGGCCGTGTGAAATGCCTACGCGTGTCCCGTGACGCCGGCCGTGTGAAATGCCTACGCGTGTCCCGTGACTGTGTGTGAAATGCCTACGCGTGTCCCGTGACTCTGTGTGAAATGCCTACGTGTGTCCCGTGACTCTGTGTGAAATGCCTACGCGTGTCCCGTGACTGTGTGAAATGCCTACGCGTGTCCCGTGACTGTGTGAAATGCCTACGCGTGTCCCGTGACGCCGGCCGTGTGAAATGCCTACGCGTGTCCCGTGACGCCGGCCGTGTGAAATGCCTACGCGTGTCCCGTGACTGTGTGTGAAATGCCTACGCGTGTCCCGTGACTCTGTGTGAAATGCCTACGCGTGTCCCGTGACTCTGTGTGAAATGCCTACGCGTGTCCCGTGACTGTGTGAAATGCCTACGCGTGTCCCGTGACTGTGTGAAATGCCTACGCGTGTCCCGTGACTGTGTGAAATGCCTACGCGTGTCCCGTGACGCCGGCCGTGTGAAATGCCTACGCGTGTCCCGTGACTGTGTGAAATGCCTACGCGTGTCCCGTGACTGTGTGAAATGCCTACGCGTGTCCCGTGACTCTGTGTGAAATGCCTACGCGTGTCCCGTGACGCCGGCCGTGTGAAATGCCTACGCGTGTCCCGTGACTCTGTGTGAGATGCCTACGCGTGTCCTGTGACGCCGGCCGTGTGAAATGCCTACGCGTGTCCCGTGACGCCGGCCGTGTGAAATGCCTACGCGTGTCCCGTGACTCTGTGTGAAATGCCTACGCGTGTCCCGTGACTCTGTGTGAAATGCCTACGCGTGTCCCGTGACGCCGGCTGTGTGAAATGCCTACGCGTGTCCCGTGACGCCGGCCGTGTGAGATGCCTACGCGTGTCCCGTGACTCTGTGTGAGATGCCTACGTGTGTCATGTGACTCTGGTTGTGTGAGATGCCTATGCGTGTCATGTGACTCTAGTTATATGAAATGTCTACGTGTGTCATGTGACTTGTTGCATGAAATGCCTGCACGTGTCATGTGACTTGTCACATGAAATGGCTGTGCGTGTTGTGTGACTCTAGTTATGTGACATGTCTACGTGTGTCCCGTGACTCTGACCAGTCCTATGGAGTGCCCGTGCACCGGGGTGGGACTCCAGGTGTTTGCGATGTCTGCAGCAGCTGCCGGGGGGGGGGGGGGGGGGGAACCTGAGCGGTGATGACCAAGGGTGCTTGGTGCCCTCTGGGCCCGCGTGGTCACTCTGGGCCAGCCGGCCCCTGCTGGGCCTCTGCTGGCCTGAGCTGCCCCTGGCTGAGCTGAGTGAGTAATGTTGAGGAGTGTTGTTCAAAACACACACATATACAACTTCAGTGCACTCACTCACCGAAAGGCCAGGCAAGGCACAGACTCAGCACATCGCTTGCACGTGTGCGTGGGTGCGCGCACACGCGGTGCACACGCCCACACGCGCACACACACGCTGACTCTGAGCTCCTGGACTGAGTGCCCCTGCCCCTGCCCCGGGCGGGAGCGGGCAGGGGGTGGACTGACCGTGAAGGCGGTGTAGACCCAGTCTCTGGGGAGGCCCTTGGCCTTTCTGAACTTGTCATTGATGTAGCAGTTCAGACGGTCCATGCTCCACACAGTGTCCTCCTTCAGCGTCGTGTACAGGGGGCTCTTTTTCTGCATAAACTACACCAAGAGCTGTGCCAGTGGCGCTCCTTGCGGAGGGCCCCAGCAGCTCCCGCCCCCACCAGAGCCCCGGGGCCCAGCCTGCACCACTTGCACGGACCACCTCCCGCCCACCCCACAGGCAGCAGGTCCCGGATCCCCACAGGGCTCCGGCCTGGAGTCTCCAGCCTTTCTTGGCACCCAGGCGGGCGCGAGGCTGCAGTGCGCTGAGGTAATTCACCAGGACTCCAGGTTGTCCCTGCCATGGCGAGCGGCACTCCTCAGCTGGGCCCCTCGGGCCTGGGCCACAGCCAGGCCATCCTCCGTGAGGGGCAGTACCTGGTTGGTCAAGTGGCCGCTGAGGTCAGTGGAGGTGGAGTCATAGAGGCTGAGGGTAAGGCGGGCGTAGCCATGGCCAAAGAAGACCATGTAGGGCATAGCACAGGCAATGAGCAGGTAGGAGCGCACATCAAACTTCTTCCCCTCCAACAGAAGTGGGTTCTGGATGTACCTGTGGGGTGCAGTGCAGGGGGGGCAGCTGGCCTGGGAACCTTCCCCAGCCTGGGCCATTCCTCAGTGGACGCTCTGCCTGTCCTGCTGTGACCGCTGGCTAACAGCTCTGTCCATGGCAGGGACTTCCTGAGCCAAGCAGACGGGGAAATCGGGAGAAGGGCCTGGTCCCTGGACCTCAGCGGCTGCCAGTGTTTTGGGCAACCTCAGGGTGCATCTAGGGTACCATTAGGTCCTTGGGGGAGATGCTAGGGGCAGATTTGGACCCTCGTGGCCGGGAGAGCTGTTTGGAGGAGGAAAGCTGCCATGGGGCCTTGGAGAAGGAAGAAGACGTTGCAGGTGGAGAACTTCAAGAATTGAAGACCTGGGTCTGGGAGTGGTGTACAGAGGAGAGAGCTAGAGGGGAGGGCAGAGATGGGGGGAGGGCAGAGACGGAGGGGAGGGCAGAGCTGGAGGGAGGGCAGAGCTGGAGGGAGGGCAGAGATGGAGGGGAGGGCAGAGCTGGAGGGAGGGCAGAGCTGGAGGGAGGGCAGAGCTGGAGGAGGGCAGAGATGGGGGAGGGCAGAGACTGAGGGAGGGCAGAGATGGAGGGAGGGCAGAGATGGAGGGAGGGCAGAGCTGGAGGGAGGGCAGAGCTGGAGAGAGGGCAGAGATGGAGGGAGGGCAGAGACGGAGGGAGGGCAGAGCTGAAGGGAGGGCAGAGATGGAGGGAGGGCAGAGCTGGAGGGAGGGCAGAGATGGAGGGAGGGCAGAGACGGAGGGAGGGCAGAGTTGGAGGGAGGGCAGAGACGGAGGGAGGGCAGAGATGGAGGGAGGGCAGAGACGGAGGGAGGGCAGAGCTGGAGGGAGGGCAGAGCTGGAGGGAGGGCAGAGACGGAGGGAGGGCAGAGTTGAGGGAGGGCAGAGATGGAGGGAGGGCAGAGCTGGAGGGAGGGCAGAGACGGAGGGAGGGCAGAGACTGAGGAAGGGCAGAGATGGAGGGAGGGCAGAGATGGAGGGAGGGCAGAGATGGAGGGAGGGCAGAGCTGGAGGGAGGGCAGAGACTGAGGAAGGGCAGAGATGGAGGGAGGGCAGAGATGGGGGAGGGCAGAGATGGGGGAGGGCAGAGATGGAAGGAGGGCAGAGCTGGAGGGAGGGCAGAGATGGGGGAGGGCAGAGCTGGAGGGAGGGCAGAGCTGGAGGGAGGGCAGAGATGGGGGAGGGCAGAGCTGGAGGGAGGGCAGAGATGGAAGGAGGGCAGAGCTGGAGGGAGGGCAGAGCTGGAGGGAGGGCAGAGCTGGAGGGAGGGCAGAGATGGAGGGAGGGCAGAGCTGGAGGGAGGACAGAGATGGGGGAGGGCAGAGATGGGGGAGGGCAGAGATGGGGAGGGCAGAGCTGGAGGGAGGGCAGAGATGGAAGGAGGGCAGAGCTGGAGGGAGGGCAGAGCTGGAGGGAGGGCAGAGATGGGGGAGGGCAGAGATGGGGGAGGGCAGAGATGGAAGGAGGGCAGAGCTGGAGGAGGGCAGAGCTGGAGGGAGGGCAGAGCTGGAGGGAGGACAGAGATGGGGGAGGGCAGAGATGGGGGAGGGCAGAGATGGGGAGGGCAGAGCTGGAGGGAGGGCAGAGATGGAAGGAGGGCAGAGCTGGAGGGAGGGCAGAGCTGGAGGGAGGGCAGAGATGGGGGAGGGCAGAGATGGGGGAGGGCAGAGATGGAAGGAGGGCAGAGCTGGAGGAGGGCAGAGCTGGAGGGAGGGCAGAGATGGGGAGGGCAGAGCTGGAGGGAGGGCAGAGGTGGAGGGAGGGCAGAGCTGGAGGAGGGCAGAGATGGGGGAGGGCAGAGCTGGAGGGAGGGCAGAGATGGGGAAAGCAGAGATGGAGGGCAGAGCTGGAGGGAGGGCAGAGACGGAGGGAGGGCAGAGCTGGAGGGAGGGCAGAGCTGGAGGAGGGCAGAGATGGAGGGAGGGCAGAGCTGGGGGGAGGGCAGAGATGGAGGGAGGGCAGAGACGGAGGGAGGGCAGAGCTGGAGGGAGGGCAGAGCTGGAGGGAGGGCAGAGCTGGAGGAGGGCAGAGATGGGGGAGGGCAGAGATGGGGAGGGAAGAGACGGAGGAAGGGCAGAGACGGAGGGAGGGCAGAGATGGAGGGAGGGCAGAGCTGGAGGGAGGGCAGAGATGGGGAAGGCAGAGACGGAGGGAGGGCAGAGCTGGAGGGAGGGCAGAGATGGAGGGAGGGCAGAGCTGGAGGGAGGGCAGAGCTGGAGGGAGGGCAGAGCTGGAGGGAGGGCAGAGATGGAGGGAGGGCAGAGATGGGGGAGGGCAGAGCTGGAGGGAGGGCAGAGCTGGAGGGAGGGCAGAGATGGAGGGAGGGCAGAGATGGAGGGAGGGCAGCGATGGGGGAGGGCAGAGATGGAGGGAGGGCAGAGATGGGGGAGGGCAGACCTGGAGGGAGGGCAGAGATGGAGGGAGGGCAGCGATGGGGGAGGGCAGAGATGGAGGGAGGGCAGAGATGGGGGAGGGCAGACCTGGAGGGAGGGAAGAGCTGGAGGGAGGGCAGAGCTGGAGGGAGGGCAGAGCTGGAGGGAGGGCAGAGCTGGAGGGAGGGCAGAGCTGAGGGAGGGCAGAGATGGAGAGGAGGGCAGAGACGGAGGGGAGGGCAGAGCTGGAGGGAGGGCAGAGATGGAGGGAGGGCAGAGCTGGAGGGAGGGCAGAGATGGAGGGAGGGCAGAGCTGGAGGGAGGGCAGAGCTGAGGGAAGGCAGAGATGGAGGGAGGGCAGAGCTGGAGGGAGGGCAGAGCTGGAGGGAGGGCTGACCTGGAGGGAGGGCAGAGCTGGAGGGAGGGCAGAGCTGGAGGGAGGGCAGAGATGGAGGGAGGGCAGAGATGGGGGAGGGCAGAGCTGGAGGGAGGGCAGAGCTGGAGGGAGGGCAGAGCTGGAGGGAGGGCAGAGCTGGAGGGAGGGCAGAGCTGGTGGGAGGGAAGAGATGGAGGGAGGGCAGAGATGGAGGGAGGGCAGAGATGGAGGGAGGGCAGAGATGGAGGGGAGGGGATGACTGGAAGGGGAGGGCAGAGATGGTGGCTGTGGCTAAAGAAGAATCTGCCCTGGTGGAGCCCAAGGCCCACCGGATCTTTTCTGAGGCCAGATTGAGCCCTCCCTACCCCGTCTGCTCTAGGCCCGTAGGAGGCTGAGGGTCTGGGCCTGCCTGGGGGCAGATGAGCCACTGGTCACAGATTCGGGAATGGTCTTGTCTGTCTGGACTGGGGAGCAGGGGCATTGACCCAGGCCTTCCAGTCCTCCTTCCCATCCCTCCCCTCCCCTCCCCTGCCCCTCCCCTCTTCCCCACCAACCCTAGAGCCTGTGTCTGTGGGCCATTTTGTCTAGGACCCAGGGCAGCCATGACACTGTCTGTGGTCTGCTTGAGACAGCCGGTCAAGCACCAGGGCTGCGGCAGCTCTCCACAGCACAGCACTCAATCATCCTAGATGCCAGCAGGTCTGAGCCAGCCCGCCCGGGGCCCCTGGGACCCAGGCCCACACCTCTGCACCACTCGAGCCTGTGGCATCCGGAAGGGCATCTTGCGGTAGATGGGGTCATCCTCGATGCTCTGGGTCTTGGCCTGCAGGGTGCTGATCTCCTCCTGGCTCCTGATCAGAAAGATGCCCTTTCCCTGGTTGGAGGCGGTGGGCTTGCAGATCCACATCTGGGTGTCTGCAGGGAGCACCCCCTCAGCCTCTGGCCCCACAGCCCCGTCCATCCCTGACTCCAGCCTGGGCCAGACCTGCTGGGCCCTGTAAGGCCTGGTCTTGACCCTCCTCTCCCCGGCCCCCCCTCAGCCTCTGGCCCCACAGCCCCGTCCATCCCTGACTCCAGCCTGGGCCAGACCTGCTGGGCCCTGTAAGGCCTGGTCTTGACCCTCCTCTCCCCGGCCCCCCCCTCAGCCTCTGGCCCCACAGCCCTGTCCATCCCTGACTCCAGCCTGGGCCAGACCTGCTGGGCCCTGTAAGGCCTGGTCTTGACCCTCCTCTCCCCGGCCCCCCCCTCAGCCTCTGGCCCCACAGCCTGGCCTGTCCCTGTCCTTACTCACCATTGGGCCCTATTTGCTCCACCTAAACCCATGTCTTCACCATGCTGCAGCCCTGGCCCACACTTGGCTCCAGAGATCGCCACGCTCCAGCCCCGCCCCACCCTTTCCGCCCTCCACCAAATCCAAGCCAAAATCCTTCCTGTCTCTCCTATGCCACCAACATTGGGAGATCCCGACTCTCCATAGCCTGCCTGGCCTCTCACCATCAAACAGGCTGAAGAAGGCCTGTCTCTCCTCCCTGATGTCTAGCCGGTAGGTCTCTGGGAAAAAATCTTCCATTTTCAGGGCCCTGGAAGAGTGGGAAGATAGGGAAGGCAGGGGAAGGGCTGTGCCCTGCCCCAGATTTGGCTGTTCCAGGGCCTGTCTCCATCTGAGAGCGAGCCGGAGGGGGCTGAGTTGGCCTCAGGCTGACCTCAGCCCCCTCCCCGCTCTCCCAGCCTTTCAACGCTCTGAGCCTCGGAGCTCTCTCACAGGCCGGACACTCTCGGCTCCTCTGCGGCTGCTGGCCGTCCACGGTCTCTCCTGCGCCCCAGTGTATTCACCTGGTTGCTCTCCTGACGTCTGGGCTGCCTAGGAGTCCCTAGACCTCTGGGATTGGCTCCTGGTTTTCCTGAGGCTTGGTTTTCATGCCCATTTACCTAACAACCAGTCCTTCCAGTGCAGGTCAGAATGATCCCCCCCAAGCTGGGCTCTATGCATCTACCTATGTGTCCCGAGACGCCCCAGGCTCGTTCCTCAGAGCTCCTCAAGGGCTGCATCAGGACACAGGACCTGGACTGCGCGCCCGTGTGTGTGTGTGTGTGTGTAATATAGAGATGGGGGGATAGGGATTTATTGGGCAAATGGATATGCTGAGGGAAAGATCTGAGTTGCTGGCAGACAATAGGAAGTGGACGGCCGGGCGTGCTGATGTCAGCCAGCGTCACACGTGACGGTGTGTGTCATACGTGATGGTGTGGTGAGCACACAAGCTGGCTCCCTGCTGGCAGAGGAGAGGGTGGAAGGGGAGTGGATGAGTGGGTAGAAGTGCTGAGGAGTGGTTTGTGCTGAGGGTGGTGGGATGTGGCTGAGGGTGGTTGGATGTGGCTGAGCGTGGTTGGATGTGACTGAGGGTGGTGGGATGTGGCTGAGGGTGGTTGGATGTGGCTGAGGGTGGTGGGATGTGGCTGAGGGTGGTTGGATGTGGCTGAGCGTGGTTGGATGTGGCTGAGGGTGGTGGGATGTGGCTGAGGGTGGTTGGATGTGGCTGAGTGTGGTTGGATGTGGCTGAGGGTGGTTGGATGTGGCTGAGGGTGGTTGGATGTGGCTGAGCGTGGTTGGATGTGGCTGAGTGTGGTTGGATGTGGCTGAGGGTGGTTGGATGTGGCTGAGGGTGGTTGGATGTGGCTGAGCGTGGTTGGATGTGGCTGAGGGTGGTGGGATGTGGCTGAGCGTGGTTGGATGTGGCTGAGGGTGGTGGGATGTGGCTGAGGGTGGTTGGATGTGGCTGAGCGTGGTTGGATGTGGCTGAGGGTGGTTGGATGTGGCTGAGCGTGGTTGGATGTGGCTGAGGGTGGTTGGATGTGGCTGAGGGTGGTGGGATGTGGCTGAGGGTGGTTGGATGTGGCTGAGCGTGGTGGGATGTGGCTGAGCGTGGTTGGATGTGGCTGAGCGTGGTGGGATGTGGCTGAGCGTGGTTGGATGTGGCTGAGCGTGGTTGGATGTGGCTGAGGGTGGTGGGATGTGGCTGAGGGTGGTGGGATGTGGCTGAGGGTGGTGGGATGTGGCTGAGGGTGGTGGGATGTGGCTGAGGGTGGTGGGATGTGGCTGAGCGTGGTTGGATGTGGCTGAGCGTGGTTGGATGTGGCTGAGGGTGGTGGGATGTGGCTGAGGGTGGCGGGATGTGGCTGAGCGTGGCGGGATGTGGCTGAGGGTGGCTGGATGTGGCTGAGGGTGGCTGGATGTGGCTGAGGGTGGTTGGATGTGGCTGAGGGTGGTGGGATGTGGCTGAGGGTGGTGGGATGTGGCTGAGTGTGGTGGGATGTGGCTGAGGGTGGTGGGATGTGGCTGAGGGTGGTTGGATGTGGCTGAGGGTGGTTGGATGTGGCTGAGGGTGGTTGGATGTGGCTGAGCGTGGTTGGATGTGGCTGAGGGTGGTTGGATGTGGCTGAGGGTGGTGGGATGTGGCTGAGCGTGGTGGGATGTGGCTGAGGGTGGTTGGATGTGGCTGAGGGTGGTTGGATGTGGCTGAGGGTGGTGGGATGTGGCTGAGCGTGGTGGGATGTGGCTGAGGGTGGTGGGATGTGGCTGAGGGTGGTGGGATGTGGCTGAGCGTGGTGGGATGTGGCTGAGCGTGGTTGGATGTGGCTGAGGGTGGTGGGATGTGGCTGAGCGTGGTTGGATGTGGCTGAGGGTGGTGGGATGTGGCTGAGGGTGGTGGGATGTGGCTGAGCGTGGTGGGATGTGGCTGAGGGTGGTGGGATGTGGCTGAGGGTGGTGGGATGTGGCTGAGCGTGGTGGGATGTGGCTGAGGGTGGTGGGATGTGGCTGAGGGTGGTGGGATGTGGCTGAGGGTGGCGGGATGTGGCTGAGCGTGGCGGGATGTGGCTGAGGGTGGCTGGATGTGGCTGAGGGTGGTTGGATGTGGCTGAGGGTGGTTGGATGTGGCTGAGGGTGGTTGGATGTGGCTGAGTGTGGTTGGATGTGGCTGAGGGTGGTGGGATGTGGCTGAGCGTGGTGGGATGTGGCTGAGCGTGGTTGGATGTGGCTGAGGGTGGTTGGATGTGGCTGAGGGTGGTGGGATGTGGCTGAGGGTGGTGGGATGTGGCTGAGGGTGGTGGGATGTGGCTGAGGGTGGTGGGATGTGGCTGAGGGTGGTTGGATGTGGCTGAGGGTGGTTGGATGTGGCTGAGCGTGGTTGGATGTGGCTGAGCGTGGTGGGATGTGGCTGAGGGTGGTTGGATGTGGCTGAGGGTGGTGGGATGTGGCTGAGGGGGAGTGGGTGGGACTGACCGGGAGGGGGGAGCCGTGAATGACCGAGGGACCTGGCGGGCGGCTCTTGTGGGTCTGATGATGGTGGACGGCAGCAGGAGCCGGGGTTGAGGCAGACTGACAGGAAGAGAGAGCGTGGCTGGGTCAGTGGAAAGACGGGTGGGTGGGCTCCATTGGGCGGTGCTGGGTGGGTTCTGCAGCCTGGCAGTGAGCAGTGGTCTGCGGGACGGGGGCAGGGTCCTGGCAGGGCCGGCGGTGAGCAGTAGTCTGCGGGACGGGGGCAGGGTCCTGGCAGGGCCGGCGGGCTCACTTGGTCGGAGCGCCCGTCTGCACCTTGGTGGTCTTGCTCAGGATACGTGCGTGCTCTCGGAGGGCGCTGAGCAGCCCGATCTTGGTGGTCAGCAGCTTGTTGTTGGGGAGCTGGAACAGCAGCTGTTGGCCTGGCAGGATGAGGACTGGTGTGTGTGGTGTGTGGAGGCCGCGGTGGGTGGGGGTGCCCCCCCCACCTGCCCCCTGCCTGACCCCTCCCCCTGCCTGCCCCCTCCCCTCCCGCCCCCTCCCCCTGCCTAACTCCCACCTGCCCGCCCCCTCTCCTGCCCTATACACCCACCTGCCTTCCCCCTCCCCACCTGCCTGCCCCCCTGCCTAACTCCCACCTGCCCGCCCCCTCCCCCTCTCGCCCCCTCTCCTGCCCTATACACCCACCTGCCTTCCCCCTCCCCACCTGCCCGCCCCCCTGCCTAACTCCCACCTGCCCACCCCCTCCCCTTGCCGGCTAGTCCCCCTGCCTGCCCCCCCAGCCTAATTCCCACCTGCCCACCCCCTCCCCCACTCTGTTCCCCCCACCTGCCCACCCCCTGCCTGCCTGCCCCCCACCCAGTACCCCCCACCTGCCCGCCCCCCTGCCTGCCTGTCCCCCCATACCCTCTGCCTGCCCGCCCCCCCATACCCCCGCCTGCCCTCCCACCCCTGCCTGGCACCCCATATCCCCTACCTGCCTGCCCTCCTGCCTGCCCGCCCCCCGTACTCCTCCCCCGCCCCCCCCGTACCCTACCTTCCCGGAAGCTGCTGTAGCTGCCCACCCGTGCCCCCCCGTACCCCACCTTCCCGGAAGCTGCTGTAGCTGCCCACCCGTGCCCCCCCATACCCCACCTTCCCAGAAGCTGCGGTAGCTGCCCCCCCGTACCCCACCTTCCCGGAAGCTGCTGTAGCTGCCCCCCCGTACCCCACCTTCCCAGAAGCTGTGGTAGCTGCCCCCCCGCACCCCACCTTCCCAGAAGCTGCTGTAGCTGCCCCCCCGTACCCCACCTTCCCAGAAGCTGCTGTAGCTGCCCCCCTGTACCCCACCTTCCCAGAAGCTGCTGTAGCTGCCCCACCGTACCCCACCTTCCCAGAAGCTGCTGTAGCTGCCCCCCCGTACCCCCCCGTACCCCACCTTCCCAGAAGCTGCTGTAGCTGCCCCCCCATACCCCACCTTCCCAGAAGCTGCTGTAGCTGCCCCCCCGTACCCCACCTTCCCTGAAGCTGCTGTAGCTGCCCCCCCCGTGCCCCCCCGTACCCCACCTTCCCAGAAGCTGCTGTAGCTGCCCCCCCGTACCCCACCTTCCCAGAAGCTGCTGTAGCTGCCCCCCTGTACCCCACCTTCCCAGAAGCTGCTGTAGCTGCCCCCCCGTACCCCACCTTCCCAGAAGCTGCTGTAGCTGCCCCCCCCGTACCCCACCTTCCCAGAAGCTGCTGTAGCTGCCCCACCGTACCCCACCTTCCCAGAAGCTGCTGTAGCTGTGCCCCCGTACCCCACCTTCCCAGAAGCTGCTGTAGCTGCCCCCCGTGCCCCCCCGTACCCTACCTTCCCAGAAGCTGCTGTAGCTGCCCCCCGTGCCCCCCGTACCCCACCTTCCCGGAAGCTGCTGTAGCTGCCCCACCGTACCCCACCTTCCCGGAAGCTGCTGTAGCTGCCCCCCCGTACCCCACCTTCCCGGAAGCTGCTGTAGCTGCCCCCCCCGTGCCCCTCCATACCCCACCTTCCCAGAAGCTGCTGTAGCTGCCCCCCCATACCCCACCTTCCCGGAAGCTGCTGTAGCTGCCCCCCCGTACCCCACCTTCCCAGAAGCTGCTGTAGCTGCCCCCCCCGTACCCCACCTTCCCGGAAGCTGCTGTAGCTGCCCCCCCGTGCCCTCCTGTACCCCACCTTCCCAGAAGCTGCTGTAGCTGCCCCCCCGTACCCCACCTTCCCGGAAGCTGCTGTAGCTGCCCCCCCGTACCCCACCTTCCCAGAAGCTGCTGTAGCTGTGCCCCCGTACCCCACCTTCCCAGAAGCTGCTGTAGCTGTGCCCCCGTACCCCACCTTCCCAGAAGCTGCTGTAGCTGCCCCCCGTGCCCCCCGTACCCCACCTTCCCGGAAGCTGCTGTAGCTGCCCCACCGTACCCCACCTTCCCGGAAGCTGCTGTAGCTGCCCCCCCGTACCCCACCTTCCCTGAAGCTGCTGTAGCTGCCCCCCCCCGTGCCCCTCCATACCCCACCTTCCCAGAAGCTGCTGTAGCTGCCCCCCCGTACCCCACCTTCCCAGAAGCTGCTGTAGCTGCCCCCCCGTACCCCACCTTCCCAGAAGCTGCTGTAGCTGCCCCCCCGTGCCCCCCGTACCCCACCTTCCCAGAAGCTGCTGTAGCTGCCCCCCCCGTGCCCCCCGTACCCCACCTTCCCAGAAGCTGCTGTAGCTGCCCCCCCGTGCCCCCCCGTACCCCACCTTCCCGGAAGCTGCTGTAGCTGCCCCCCCGTACCCCACCTTCCCGGAAGCTGCTGTAGCTGCCCCCCCGTGCCCCCCCGTACCCCACCTTCCCGGAAGCTGCTGTAGCTGCCCCCCCGTACCCCACCTTCCCGGAAGCTGCTGTAGCTGCCCCCCCGTACCCCACCTTCCCGGAAGCTGCTGTAGCTGCCCCCCCATACCCCACCTTCCCGGAAGCTGCTGTAGCTGCCCCCCCGTACCCCACCTTCCCGGAAGCTGCTGTAGCTGCCCCCCGTGCCCCCCCGTACCCCACCTTCCCGGAAGCTGCTGTAGCTGTCTTTGCACTTGACCTCGCACCACTTGAGCTTGCAGTCCTCGCGCTGGCTGTCCTGCGTGCGCTGCCAGCCCTTGCTCTCACAGTAGTTGCTGATTCTGCGGGGTGGAGGGGCGATGACCCAGGCCGTGGGGTCCCGGGGACTTCAGCAGCGGCAGCGTGGGGCCAGGCGGGGGGGGGGGGCGCGGGTGCAGAGCGGGGCTGGAAGGGCCTCACTCACACTGAGGCCCCGTTGGTGCCTCCGATGTAGAAGAAGGGGCCGTGTCCGGTGCTGAACGGTGTCTTGTCCACCTCCTCTGGGCTGTCCTCCAGAGGGGCCTCGGGGAGCCTGGCAGGGTCTGCATCTTCGGGGAGATCTGCAGGGGGACGCAGCTCAGCGGTCCAGGCCTTCTGGATTGGTGGGCCTCCCCGGCCTCCCCTCCCCCCCAGCCACCTAGAGCCCCACCTGCATCTTGGTCCAGCTGGCTTAGCTCACCACTGCTCCCCATCTGTCTGTCATGGGTCCAGTCTGGGCGCCAGTGGGGTCAGGTGCGGGTTGGAGAGGTGCGCGCACCCCCCCACCCCGTCTGAGCCCAGCCAGGCCAGCAGCTGCTGGGTCCTCTCCCAGCCCCCCTGAGGCACAGACCCTCCCCAGCCCCCCTGGGCTCAGACCCTCCCCAGCCCCCCTGGGCTCAGACCCTCCCCAGCCTGGGGCTCAGACCCTCCCAGCTCCCCTGGGCTCAGACCCTCCCCAGCCCCCCAGGGCTCAGACCCTCCCCAGCCCCCCAGGGCTCAGACCCTCCTCAGCCTGGGGCTCAGACCCTCCCCAGCCTGGGGCTCAGACCCTCCCCAGCCCCCCTGGGCTCAGACCCTCCCCAGCCCCCCTGGGCTCAGACCCTCCCCAGCCTGGGGCACAGACCCTCCCCAGCCCCCCTGGGGCTCAGACCCTCCCCAGCCTGGGGCTCAGACCCTCCCCAACCCCCCTGGGGCTCAGACCCTCCCCAGCCTGGGGCACAGACCCTCCCCAGCCCCCCTGGGGCTCAGACCCTCCCCAGCCTGGGGCACAGACCCTCCCCAGCTCCCCTGGGCTCAGACCCTCCCCAGCCTGGGGCTCAGACCCTCCCCAGCTCCCTTGGGCTCAGAACCTCCCCAGCCTGGGGCTCAGACCCTCCCAGCTCCCCTGGGGCTCAGACCTTCCCCAGCACCCCTGGGCTCAGACCCTCCCCAGCCCCCCAGGGCTCAGACCCTCCCCAGCCCCCCTGGGCTCAGACCCTCCCCAGCCTGGGGCACAGACCCTCCCCAGCCCCCCTGGGGCTCAGACCCTCCCCAGCCTGGGGCACAGACCCTCCCTAGCCCCCCTGGGGCTCAGACCCTCCCCAGCCCCCCTGGGGCTCAGACCCTCCCCAGCCCCCCTGGGCTCAGACCCTCCCCTCCACAGCCCAGTCCAGCCACACAGGGAACCAGGGAGCTGGGGTGAAGGGGCCCCACACCCTCCTTACCAGCAGGGCAGGGCAGGGGACTGGGCATGGGGCAAGAGCCCCGCAGATATGCTATAGGGACACCTCCAGAGAAGGCTGGGGTCACAATGTCCATGGTGACATCACGGTGACTCAAGGAGGCGGGCCGGGAGAGGCCAGGGCTCACCTGAGTGGAGGCGGGGCAGGCAGTGCCCCTGGCGGCCCCGGGCATGGATGGGCAGAGGCCTGGGGTCCTGACCGGTGGCCTCGGCGCCGGGGGCTTCCTGTGGGCCCCTCCTGGGGCCTGTCTGGTCATCTGGATACGGCTGTGGGGAAGACTGGTCCCCTTCCCAAGAGACACACGGCCCGTGTCTGTCCTGGGGTGCCCCGGGCTGGGGGTGGGCGGGGCTGGTCCTGGGGGTCGCTCCGCATTGCCGGACCCTGAGCCGCTTGGGTCTCTTGGAGCCAAGGTGGGTCCGCCTGGGCTGGCCCCGGTAGTGAACAGGCCAGAGGTGGCTGTGGGTTCCAGGCCTGGGGGCGCGGAGGAGAGGTCCCCAAGGGGAAGCCGCTGCCCTCACCAGCCTGTGGGGCCTGCGGGCAGCCTGGGGGCCCAGCCCTTTGACGGGGTCCCCCGTCAGGCCTGCCCTGCCCAGGGAAGCGGGCCTCTCTGTGTCCTGGGCTTCGGCATCGGCGTGTGGCTGGCTCTCATCCCGGTGGTGACCGTGGGGCTGGGCAGCCAGCGAAGCCATTTCTGCATCCTGCCCCTGCCGAGCGAGTCCTCCACCGCCGCCGGGCCGGTGCTGGTCTGGCTGAGCGTGGCCTTTAGGTCGGCTGTGAGCAAGCGGCCATCAGACTAGCTGGGGGCCCTGCCCCCACCTGTGGTGCTGGACGGCGGAGGGGCGCCTGGCCTTGAGCGGGGCTCCTCCAGGTCTGCACTGCTGCCCTGGGGTCCTACTGGGGGTGGCACAACTCCTCTGCAGCCATGGCAACTCTCCCAGCCCAGGGCCCTTGTGCTTGGACGTGCTGCCGACTTCGGAGCATTGCAGGGAATGTTGGCCAATCCCTAGATGCGTCCTTCTGCTTACATATCAAACAAACAAACTCAAGTTTGGGGGCTATTTAGGAGGCAAGGACTTGCCACGGGGGTACGGGTGGGCTGGGCACCAGTGGCTCATGCCTGTAACCCTAGCTACTCAGAAGGCTGAGATCTGAGGGTCACAGTTTAAAGCCAGCCTGGCTGGGCAGGAAGATCTGTGAGACTCTTGTCTCCAATGAACCACCAAGGAGCCGGAAGTGGAGTTGTGGCTCAGATAGTAGTGCCAGCCTCGAACAGAAAAGCTCAGGAACAGTGCTCAGCCCCTGAGTTCAAGCCTCAGTATTGGTGCACTGGCTTCACACCAAAACAAAACAAAGTGGAGTAGGAGGGTAGGGTAGCAGTAGGCAGGACAGAGAAATGGCCTTCAAGGCGGTGTCTGAGAAGCAAAGGGAGAAGCCAACACCCCTTGGTGGGAATCGGTCATCTCTGAAGAGGATGCTGGGTGGTGGACAGCAGCCAACAGCCAAGAAATGCAAGGTCTGTAGCCAAGTGCTTGTCAGCCACACAGACTTTTTATCTGCTTGCCCTGCCCCACTGGACTGAAGGAGAGGCGAGAAAAGGGGCAAATCCACAGAACGGAGCTCTGGGCACCGCACCCCGCAGGCCTTCTCCCCCCCCCAGAACAGGAGGTTCCACAGAGGCGGCTGGGGGGGGGGGGTTGACAGACTCTCCAGGTCCCTGTCCACTGAGTTCCTAGTACCTGTGCTGTGGACATGAGCCCTAAGACACTAGCTTTTATCACTGTCCACAGACCAAGTGGCTTCCTGGCTCGGGAAGACGAGATGGCTGGGAGGCGGTGCGGGACCACGTGCCCAGCTCCCCTTGGAAAGGAGCTGCGTCTGTCAGGAAAGGAGGCACATGGACATTAAATGTGCAACACAGGGGGCAGCATTCAAGCGCAAGAAATTGCCCCGGGACTGAGGACAGGGCCTGACGTCATGAGCCAAGTACAGGCCAGGCGCCCCGCGTCAGAGCGGAGGGCCGACTGAGCGCAGAGGGGACGTGGGAGGCCACGGTGCACCCGCAGTGGCCCTTCCGGGGGAGGCGGGAGGAGACGAGGGCCTGTTTCTTTGCCTGCATGGTAGTCTGGGAACAGCACGGGCCTGTCATGGTCCTGTGAAGATGGAGCTCCTAGCCAGCGCGTGTGAGGATGTGGCGGCCACTGAGCGAGGGCTCAGCACTGCAGGCCGCACGGCCACACCAGGAGGCCCGAGGCTCCGGAACAACTAAGGACAGCAGCAAGATGCTGCTCGGCCGTTAGGACCCTGATTGCCTGATTGTGTGGGGTTGGCACAAATGAAGGAGCAAGAACAGGTGGATGGCCACTTCTACAACTCGTGCGCAGTCAGGTGCTACTTAGAAAAAGGAAGTAGTTTAAAAAGTCCAAGGGCTCCTGGGGAGAACGCCAGCCTTTCCCTGTGCCCCCGGCCCCAGCCCCGGCCGAGTCTGCGGCCACACAGGCTGCAGGGCACATGCAGCACGCCCCCATACGCGTTACGCCACAGTCTGTGACCTTGTTATTTTCACAAATCATTAAATGAGCCGTGAGTTATTAATTCTTGTTGTCCAGGAAGGGCCAGGTCTGCTTCCTGGCTCTGGTGAGCCTGCCCCCCCCCCCCCCCCCCCCAGTGACTCAGGAGTGATCCAGAGGGGAACGTCACACTGGTGACATCAGTGAATCTCCTTTTTTTTTTTGCTGGTCATGGGGCCTGAACTCTGGGCCTGGGCGCTGTCCCTCAGCTCTTCAGCTCAAGGTTAGCGCTCTACCACTTGAGCCACAGCACCACTTCCAGCTTTTTCCTGCTTATATGGTACTGAGGAATCGAACCCAGGGCCTCAGGCATACGAGGCAAGCGCTCTACCACCGAGCCACCTTCCCAGCCCGTGAATCTCTACTTCTAATGGTGGGATGGGAAGCAAGCAGTTTGCAGAGAGATGGTCACTAATCTCATTGAGGTGTAATGGTCGATGGATGCCCAGGGTCAGGGACCAGGAGCCAAAGACTCATGGTGTTGTGGTAAATTAAAATAAACATTTTACCTGGGCAGACAAAAAGACCGGCAGGAGATGGCACTCTGGTAGGATGGGCAGAGGCATTTAAACCTGAAGAAAACAGCCACACCTCAGTGTGTGCCCCGGGTCCCGTGGGAGGCGTGTGGGGACGCCGGGCCCAGCAGGTGCTGACATGTTTCCAGGGGGCGGTGCCTTGGCCCAGACTGACTGCACCCCGGGCCGGCAGTCCCTGTGCGTCTCAAGGGGCTCCCCCTCCGGGGGGCGGCTCTGGGGAGCAGACCTGGTCCTGGGCAAAAGGTTCCTCCTGAGAGTGGCCAGCTCTTCCCAAAGCCAGTCACCTGCTCAGGGGCCCCTCCCTGTGGGGCACACCCTTCCCAGGAAGGCCACAGAGGCTGGCTGGGCTCTGCTGCACCTAGCTGAGCTACCCAGCCTCTGCCTAGTCCCGGCCCCTCCTGTCAGCCCTGGGCTGGGTCCCGAGACAGGGCCAGGAGGAAGGGCTAAGCTTCAGTCCCGGCCAGGACTCCTCACCAGTAGCTGGCCTCGTCCCTCTTACCTGTCCAGCAAGGTCAAGGGAAGTCTCTGCTGGGATACAACAGTGGCGGCCTTGACAACGGTTACCTGGCAACTGCAATCCAGCAGAACCTGGAGGTAAACACGGCTTCAGAGGGTGGGGAAGGGTTGTGTGGTGTGGGCTGAGAGACCTGGGGAGGCCGGCGGTGAGCTGGGGCCGAGGAGCCTCTCCCGGGCAGCCCCGAGCAGGGCTGAGCCTGGGCATCCCCTCCCTTCCCTCCAGCCTCCTCAGATCCTCCCAGGATGGTCTGAGCTTTCTCAGGATGCCTTGATTCAGATTCAGGCACAGCACCTGGGACTGATGCTAGCCTGGCTCCGTGTGAGAGCTTGCTGCCAAATACCCAGACCGGGCCGCCCCACCTCACCTCGGACCCCTGGGCTCAGACTTCCAGGGCCCACCCCACCTCGGACCCCTGGGCTCAGACTTCCAGGGCCCACCCCACCTCGGACCCCTGGGCTCAGACTCCCAGGCCCCACCCCACCTCGGACCCCTGGGCTCAGACTCCCAGGGCCCCCACCCCACCTCGGACCCCTGGGCTCAGACTTCCAGGCCCCACCCCACCTCGGACCCCCGGGCTCAGACTCCCAGGGCCCACCCCACCTCGGACCCCTGGGCTCAGACTTCCAGGGCTCTGCCGCATCACCTTGCTCCCCTGGCAGGGGCTAGACCATGTCCTCCTGTGGTCAGTGCCCTAGCCTCCATGCAGGTGTGAAGACCCTCCTGTGGTCAGTGCCCTAGCCTCCATGCAGGTGTGAAGACCCCCTGTGGTCAGTGCCCCAGCCTCCATGCAGGTGTGAAGACCCCCTGTGGTCAGTGCCCCACCCTCCATGCAGGTGTGAAGACCCCCTGTGGTCAGTGCCCCACCCTCCATGCAGGTGTGAAGACCCCCTGTGGTCAGTGCCCCAGCCTCCATGCAGGTGTGAAGACCCCCTGTGGTCAGTGCCCCAGCCTCCATGCAGGTGTGAAGACCCCCTGTGGTCAGTGCCCCACCCTCCATGCAGGTGTGAAGACCCCCCTGTGGTCAGTGTCCCACCCTCCATGCAGGTGTGAAGACCCCCCTGTGGTCAGTGTCCCACCCTCCATGCAGGTGTGAAGACCCCCCTGTGGTCAGTGTCCCACCCTCCATGCAGGTGTGAAGACACTCCTGTGGTCAGTGTCCCAGGCTCCGGGCAGGTGTGAAGACCCCCCTGTGGTCGGTGTCCCACCCTCCATGCAGGTGTGAAGACCCCCCTGTGGTCAGTGTCCCACCCTCCATGCAGGTGTGAAGACCCTCCTGTGGTCAGTCCCACCCTCCATGCATGCGTGAAGAGCCCCTGTGGTCAGTGTCCCACTCTCCATGCAGGTGTGAAGACCCTCCTGTGGTCAGTGCCCCACCTTCCATGCAGGTGTGAAGACCCCCTGTGGTCAGTGTCCCACCCTCCATGCAGGTGTGAAGACCCTCCTGTGGTCAGTGTCCTAGGCTCCAGGCAGGTGTGAAGACCCCCCTGCGGTCAGTGCCCCACCCTCCATGAGGGTGTGAAGACCCTCCTGTGGTCAGTGTCCCACCCTCCATGTGGGTGTGAAGACCCTCCTGTGGTCAGTGTCCCACCCTCCATACAGGTGTGAAGACCCTCCTGTGGTCAGTGTCCCACCCTCCATGTGGGTGTGAAGACCCCCCTGTGGTCAGTGCCCTAGCCTCCATGCAGGTGTGAAGACCCTCCTGTGGTCAGTGCCCCACCTTCCATGCAGGTGTGAAGACCCCCTGTGGTCAGTGTCCCACCCTCCATGCAGGTGTGAAGACCCCCTGTGGTCAGTGTCCCACCCTCCATGCAGGTGTGAAGACCCTCCTGTGGTCAGTGTCCCAGGCTCCGGGCAGGTGTGAAGACCCCCCTGTGGTCAGGTCTCCTGCAGCCCCCCAGGGCCTGGCTTGGCCGAGCTGGGAACCTTGGGGTCAGTCCTGTACCATGAGCTCCAGTGCTGACCCGGGACCTTTGCCCCAGCAGCCACAGGCCAACCTGAGGGGCAGGGCTACAGACAGGCTGCATCGGTCCTTCCGCAAACCCTGTCCTGAGTGGCTGGGGCTCACAGCCTGGCCTGGGCCGGGGCCGGCCACGCTCATCTCTGGCCTAGACAGGGACGGACGAAATAGGCCCTCACTCCAGCGGCGATGTGGGCGAGGAGGGCCTCACCTGCCATCCTTGGGGTGGTCTGGAGTGTGCACCGCAAAGGCGCCCGGGGTGCCCCAGCGCCAGCTGGCTTGGGCCTGGGGCCCAACGCTCAGCTCTGGCTGGCCTCTCCTCTCTGGTGGGGGCGGGAGCCCCTCCTCCACCCTCCTCCTCATTGCAAGAAGTCTGGACCACCAGAAGCTTCTAGATCCTTCCTGGTCCCCTCCTGGCTTTGGACCTGGCCCTGGCCCACACCAAGCCCTGAGATGGGCTGTATTACCACACGCTGTGCCCTGGCACTCTTGCTCTACTTGGCACTGTCCTCCCCAGATATCTGGAAAAGCTGAAGCTCCTGAGCAGGGGGTAGGGGGCGGGGGCGGGGGCGGGAGCGGGGGGGGGCGGGGGCTCTCTCCCTGGGACCCCCCTAGCTGTGCAGACGCAGCGACTTGTCCTGGCAGTCTTCAGCAAGCACCTCTGCAAAGCTGCCAGTCCTTGCTTCGTATGGCTGAAATAACAAAGCCTGCAAAGTCCAATTTCACCAGTCAGTTTCCCTCCTTTGTTCGTAGTTCGTAAGGGAAGAATGAGGGGTGACGGGGGAGCACACGGGGGCAGAGGGCGTCAGCTGCAGAGTGGTTTATGACTTAGGGAGTTGTCCAACTACAGTTGCTCACTTTTGGAAAAGTCTAGAGCTCAAGGTGCACTTTATATGAGTGGCTCTTGAGAGTGAGACCCAGCAGGCCCCAGCAGGCCCCCAGCAGGCCCCCAGCAGGCCCCAGCAGGCCCCCAGCAGGCCCCCCAGCAGGCCCCGGCAGGCCCCAGCAGGCCCCCAGGACCCCTGGACCCCAGCGGGGTCGGCCGGCTGTGGCTAGACTACAGGATGTGGCCCGGCTGACACAGCCTGGACGATGGTCAGCCTGGGTCAGGCGCGGGGGTTTCCGGGGCCAGCGCCAGACCACATGTAGCAGTGCCTAAGTGAACGGCTCTTGTGTGAGGTCTAAGTGGGATGCTGACTTCCAGAGAAAGGGGTTCAACGCGGGCGCATGTGTAATTAGATCTGAAGTCATCGTGGAGCTCCCTAACGGCTGTGCAAAGGGCCTCCTCGTGTTTTCCAGGGAGCGCGCTCTGGGGGCCAGCCACGGGCAGGGTCGGGGGTCAGAGGTCAGAGTTGAGGGGCTGGAGCTGCGTGCATCTGGAGCTGGCAGCTGTGCCGGAGGGACCAGGACCCACCCTGCCCGGTGTCCAGCTGGGGCTTCCTTGGGTGACGAGAGCGTAGTCCTCCGGTGGTGATGGGGCCATGGACAGACGGCATTACCAGACAGTATTAGACAGAGGCATCCAGATCTAACCGTGTCTGGTAAGACGCCCATCGGCAGGCAGTCGCACAGGAGCCCGCGAGGCAGCGCATGCTGGTGCCAGGGAGAGCACCCTAACCTCACCATCCCCACGCCTGACACCCGAGGGCCAGCTCAGGGCCTTCACTCGGCCAGGACCCGGGGCTGCTGGGAGCATTTCCCGCGAGGCCTCCCTCAGTCCCCGCCTGAGAGAGTCCCCCCGTTCAGAGAGCTGAACGATCTTGTCAAGTTCATGAGGGACTGCCAGGCCTAGGGACGGACCCCACACCTCCCCTCCCCGGGAAGAGGCCGCTGGACCTGCGCTGGGGGGGCTCCTGGGCCCTGGCATTAGACCAAAAACACAAACAAAATGAAACAATGGGTAATCCTGGACTGTGATTTTGGGCAGAGTCCCTGTCCTCAGGAACGTGGAAGGGATCGGAGACTCTGTTCTTGATCGGGGGGAACGCTGGGCCATGGCAGTGCCTTAGGGAAGGACTCACACCTGAACCTGTCCTTGATGCCCAGTTCCGAGGCACACCCCGGCGGGTCAGCGCTAAGGCCCGATGGTGCTGAGCAGTCGGGGGGCCACGGCCTGGGCAGGTCCCTGCTGCAGTCCCTCAGTGACAGGCGGTCGGGGGGACGTGGTAGGCCGTGTGCTGTCTTTGTCCCAGAGCCTCCTGGTACACAGAACCAGCCTTGCCCAGCTTGGCGTAAGGAGCGAAGCATCTATCAAACTGATGCTGAGCCGTGCAGCTGCAGCCAGCATGGCTGCAGAAAGCTGCTCCCTGGAGAGGCTCAGAACCGCCTCTCCACAGGGGCCTGCCCCTCCACCCCCGCCCGGCCACCTCCCAGGGCTGCCGTCCCAGCGTCCTGTCTGGAGCCCGACCTCGGGACCGCACACCCTTAGGCATCTTCCGGAGAGTGGCGGGTCACCTTTGAACATCGTTACCAGACAGTGTTAGAGTCGAGCCGAGTAATCCAGCACTGTCCGGTAAGATGCCCACAGATGCCCAGGCATACCCCGGCAGGAGCGTGGATGGACCTGCAGTTCCACCCACAGGCCGCGCATGGACACCCAGTCTTCACGGGTGCCGACAGAGGGGTTTGGGGCCCTGACGCCCCGAGCTTGTCTGTCTGCCTTGCTTTCTCCAGATCGAAGGGGAGCCGTGGCCCCTGGCCCCAGACCAAGGCCTGGTGGTGCTGCTGGACTACAGGCGGGCCATCCAGTCTTGACACAGGAAGGGAAGGAGGCCCAGGCCTGCGGGTGTCCCCCACCTTGGGTCAACACACAGCTCCGTGCTCTGGGTGAGGCCGCTGGCGCCAGGCCAGGCCCTGTGTCTCAGCTCTGCCCAGTCCCCACCTGCCAGGTGCGGCTGTGGCGGCCGCCCGGATGCAGAGCTGGGAAGGCCCAGAGAACCCTGGAGAGGGGCGCCCAGTGGGGGAAGCCTGTCACCCCGGGGGGCGGAGAGGGGGCCTCAGAAATGTCTGGTGGGGGCGGGGGACAGGGCTGCCCAACAGCCATCCTCCCAAAGTGAGCGTTCCGCCCACAGCTCCGCCAGGAAGCCCTGGACAGGCAGGGGAAGGGCTGGGGGAGGGGGGAGGGGAGGCGGCCCCCTGCTGCGCGCAGGGCTCCGCCGTCATCATTACCAGGCAGTATTAGAGATCGGACACCATCCAATGCTGCCCAGTAAGATGGCCACGGCTGCCCAAACTGGGTCTGGGGGCCGCCTCTCAGGAGGCCAGGGGAGCTCAGCAGTCTGTGGCAGGCTTGTCCTCAAGTGCTTATGGGGAGAGGGGCTGGGGCAGGGTGCTCTGCGGGTATCGAGGCCCCTGGCCCTGGCCTCTCCAGGGGGCGCAGCAAAAGGGCTGAAGCCTCGGCTGGCCAGACCCGACCCACAGCGCTGCTGGTTTGGGACCTGGTTGGACCAAGGTATCCCTTCTGGAGGGGGGGTGTCTCAGGGAGCGGAGGCTGGGCAGGGGCCCACGGGGCACGCCGGGTGGGGAGGGTGGGGTCAGGGTAAGGTCGCAGCCGAACCCCCAGAGCACTTGCAGTGCTGCGTGTGTGTGTGTGCGCACACTTGTGTACGTGTGTCTGTCTCAGGCTGTGTGTCTGTCTACAGCTGCTGGACAATGGGTCTCTGTCTCCAGGAAGCTGTTCAAGGCCACTTCCCGGCCCAGCCCCCACCTGCCCTTCCCAGGGCGGAGGAAGGGGACTGAGCTCTGTGGCCCAGTTTGCTGCCTGCTGGACTGGAGAATCCACTCGGAGCAAACGGGGACAGCGCTCCCCAACGGGACACCCGTGCCCAGGCCTGAGCCACAGAGCCGCCTCTGAGTGCTCAGAATGGGGGCTCCTCAGCCGTCCTGTGCGAAGCCTCACCTGTAACCCCACAGAGAGGTCCCCGGGGCCCGCTCTGAAGACACCGGTGGAGGGAGGCCCAGCGTGCAGCGCCTGTGTCTGCCCCTTCTGTCGGCCTGGCCGGCCAGCCAGAGTAGCTCCTCCCGTTTTCTGTGCTTCCACCTACAGAGACCACAAAGGGGGCTCAGGCCCTGTGCCCCGCCTCAGGTCACAGCCAACCACCACGAAGGCCGAGGCCCCTGCTGACACCCTGTCCGCCCTGTCCTCCAGCCTCATCTTCTCGAGAGCCAACGTTTTCAGAGGACTCGACCCCAGCCTAGGCCTGTGAGGGCGGTGCACAGCCGTGCAGGTGCCTGGACCCCTCAGACGGCCCGAGGAGGGGCCTGCTGTATGTCCACAGACAGCGCCTCCCACGCTGCTCGCAGCCCCTCTTCAGATCTGTCCCACCAACCATAAGAACCGGTGCTGGTGAGGGTGTGGGCAGGTGCCAGATCCGTCTCTCCCCACACGGTGTGGACTGGCTGGCCTCCCACGCGGAGCCTGTCTCCCCAGCGATGGCCCTGGGCCATTCAGGGCCAGCCCCTCTCTGGGAGCCCTGAACACAGACGGGTATGCCGGGCACCATATTCCTGCCTCGTGGGCCAGTGTGGACAGGTGTCCAGGTCCAGGGGAGAGTGGGCTTAGAGCAGAACTGCTCTAGGGATGTGCACAAGGACGGCGTGGCCTCCGACACAGCTCGGTGCGTGGGCCCGGCCTCACAGGGAGAGGGCTGGGGGAGGGTGGAGAAGAACAGCTGGGTCTGACTGCAGCCACAGACCAGGGCGTGGGGAATGGGAACAGAACCTCCTCAGTGCCCACCTGGTCGGGGAGAGGGGAGGGCTCCTCCCAGCTGGTTAATCATCAGCTTTGGGGCTCAGCTGGGGAAATCGGGAGACTCAAGACTCCCAGAGCCCCCAGCTCCTCCGAGAACAAACACCCCTGCTCTGCGGTGGGCCCTTCCTGGCAAGGGCGGGGGGCAGCTGGCAGAGCCAAGCAATCCCAGTGTGAAAAAATGAGTCTCTGGTTAACCTGCCCAACGGCCTTAATCAATGGCAGGGCCAGAGAACAAAGCACTGAAACCCAACCTCTCCTGCCACAGAGCAGCCAGGCCTGGGCGCCAGAGGCTGCAGGGGCGGGGGCAGAGAAGGCTTGGCTATTTCTTAACGTCCTGTTGGAGCTACGTGTCTTGGAGGCAAAGCCGCCATTTCGCCTACACGGCCCAGGCTGCGGAAGGAGTCCCCCCCACCCTTCTTGGTGGCCCTGGTGCCACCACCAGAGATGCCAGGCTCGGCTGGGTGGGGAGCTTCTGGTGGCCATTTCAGTTGATCCTAAGTACACTAAAGGCACCCGACAAACTGATTTTGCAAATAAGGCATTTGCAAATTAGCTAAAGTCTGAAACCCAGCAATGGACTGCATCCATATTTTATGGTTAACTTGTATTTTCA